ATACCGTAGACACCTGATTGTATCTCCCCACCCAGTGATGACTATCTTTCACGTCACTAATTATCGAATAAGGTGAAGTGTAAAAGAGTATCGTGAATTTCCCCTTTTCTAAAATATTTTTGATTCAAAAATAATTTATTTCGTATTTTCAAAATCACTTATTTTGTGTCCTATATATAAAAAAAGTGAAATTCAAATTGTTTTGGTCCATAATCTGGATTCAATAATTATGTAGTTGAATGAAATTTGAAAAGATCTTTCCAACGATATATTATAAGCCCAATTCCGAATTATAACGAGGAAGTTATGGCCAAAATACTAAACTGAACCCAAAATGAGCTTTATGTGTGGATCCAATGATCATGTGGAGGGTTCATTAATATTAATTACGTACTCCCTCCGTTTTTAAATACTTGCTCCATTTCTCCATGCGCGGAGTTTTAGGAGAAATTGGAGAAAGTAATTAAATATGGAGGTAGTGGGGTAGTTGAGAAAATAAAAAATTGTAAAAAAACAAAAAGTAGTGGAAGAATAGGAGGAGAGCGAGTATTATGTTGGGTCCAATAAGTGTGAGAAATGAATTAAATATTGTAAAAGTTTTCCATAAAAGGAAATGGAGCAAGTATTTTAAAACGGCCGGAAAAGGAAAGTGGAGCAAGTATTTAAAAACGGAGGGAGTATTATATTTCTAAAACCATTAGAATTTATCTTAAACTTCTAGAATTATCTAGAAGGTTGTTTTAAGTTCTAAAGGCATTATGACTGATTATTATATTCTAGAAGCTTCTAAATTATCCTATTTTTGAAAAGATAATGATTAAGAATTTTATGTCGGATAAAACAAGTGTTTTTAATAGATTTAATTCTATTGTTTTAACAAGAATTTTATGTATGGATATTCGACTAACCCAATTTGTTTGGAATCGGATTCCGTACGAATCATATCTTTTGAAAATCATCGCACATCGATGGATCTACCGCACAACAAAGGAAATATCGTGACGCGATGAATCATCCCCCCACGACGAAACTTGATTTACTCCGAATAGGATTCAGATCGTTTTCTGATTATTTTCGATCATTTCTCCTATAAATAGAGGACGATTTCCTCCGTTTTCGGGAACGAACAACCAACAATCATCATATCTTTCTCTCTTTAAGCTAAAACTTATTCTTTTTCTCTCTATCCCCCCTGATTTTCTAAACCTTTTAACAAACACACACCATTCCTCGTTCAAGAGTGTCGAATACACCTAGCCAAGCTCGAAATTGTCTTAGATCTCGACGTGAAAGGTAGATTGTTCTCAGGTTTTAGTCCCAAATATATATTTCAATTATTATTTTATTATTGTCTCATTAAATAGTTTATTTAAGTTTATCAACGTGTGTATTCTTTTTATAGAAACATGTACGGGACTTCACAATGAGTAATTTTATTGTTCTATTCCTTTAGAAATCATGCTTATAATATTTTATTGTTTTCTAGTATCAGGTTCGGATGCTTTTAATGTTTTCTAGTGTCATGTTCAGGATAAAGCTTTGATTTTTATTATTTAGTGACATGCTAGTAGGATCTTGCTAATATTATTATATTTTGAGGATATTATGCTGATGATTTGATGTGTCAATAATAATTGTTGTTTGATTTATTATTATTGTTACTACTTGATCAAGCCCTCTTTTTGTAGGTTTAAAGGGAATTTGTACTTGAAATCACGCTTAATAAGATAATTAATAATTTGATATAGGTAAATTTGATTATAATTCAAGTGATCGAAAATAATAGATTTATTTGTGCATAAAAAGTCAACCAACATAGATTAAAAATGTTTAGGATTAATTTATTGATTGTATGTTGATCGAAAAGCGCACATGAATATGAGAAATAAAGTATAGGCCTATTTAGGGCGGGTTCAATCTCTTTTAGGTTGGATTCGTGCCATCATCCCTGAATATACAGTCATGGTTTAGGACCACTATGGAGTTAGCGATCTCTGTGATCATAAATGAGGTAGGTGTAACCTTCACACCCGTGGGCGGTTTACAAGTATTTAAAACTTGTTAACGAATTTTTTGCTCTATCGTCCTTCCCTTTAAACGCCACCATGCTTAAATACATGATCATAGTGGGGGTCAAAGTTTATCTTTAAAATATTCCCTAGAGATACTAATCTTGGTGGTTGCCTATTATTCCCTTCATCTCAATAATGTAATTTTCACACTTTTCTTTTAGATTCATTTTAATTATCTAATTTCCACACTTTCTTCTATGATATGAACCTAATAATATGTAATCACTTTTTTTTTTCCTACTACCAAAAAGTTATGATGTCACACCCTTACTCATTCAATTGAATTTCTTTATACAATGTCCTATCACATGTAAGGGTGTTCGCGGTGCGGTTTATAGATTTTTCAAACCGCACCTCTAACCAAACCGCACCAAATCGCTCCGTAAAATGCGGTTTGGGTGGTATGGTTTGCGGTTTAGCCATATTTTTCGAAATTATAAGTATTTTATATAAAAACAAGACTTTTATTTAATTTTGTGATTATTAAATTATAATTAACATTTAAACTATTTTTTTAACCTTTAATTAGCTAATATCTATTCAAAGATTAGCTCATATTTTTTTTAGTTCTTTTATATGATTTTTATTTAAAATAGAGTATAAAAACCACAAACCACATTAAAGTGCGATTTGCGGTGCAATTTGGTCTAAATTTTTTTGAAAACCACATCAAACTGCGATTTGGTCATTTTCAAACCACAAAATTGCGGTCTTGTTTGGTCTAGACCGCACTCTGAATAACCTTAATCACATGCACTTTTCTATTAAAATAACATGTACCTACAAAAATTGCATTATCATTATAATTTGGAGAACAGTTGTGTGACCGTCAAATTGGGATAGAAGAATTGACAGTTGATGACATATGAATACTATTAAATACGTATTACTCCCTCTGTTTTTCTTGATGTTGCATGCACTTGAGATTTTGCACTATTCATATGTTACCTTTAACTTTATTGTTTTAGAAAAAATTGTCATGAATATTACGACCTTTCATTACCAGTCTTTCAAAAATTCATAACCTTTTGATTAGTCCGAAATTAAACGATATTTGATATGCATCTTCTGTAAATAACATTTTCGGTTGGTAACCTGTTTTATAAGTTAATACCCCCCGCAACAATTCTTCACCCCCTTGAACAATCCCCACCCCATATACAACTAAGACCATCTCATCTCCCATGTCACCCTCAACCCCATCAGTCACTAAACCCCCACCTAATCCCCCCCCCCCCCCACGCCCTACCATTGTCGAAAACCCCGACCATAGCCTCACCATAACCAAAAATCCCTACACTAGCCCCCACCATTGCCGAAGCCTCCACCCCATCCTATCTATGAGCCCGAAATCCCCACTATAATAGCCCCACTGTCACTAAAAACCCCCATCCTCTGGCCGCCTAGCCACGGTTGGTTTTTTATTGGAGAATTCGAGGGGGGGGGGGAGCAATAGCAGAATTGAATGGTGGTTGGATCGCGCTGTGGGAATGAAGGGGAGTGGGCTGGGTAGTGTAGAGGGAAAGGAAAGGTTGGAGGGGTCTAGAATTCTGGATGTTGCTGCGGGAAGGAGGGGAGAAAGCTGGTGGCAATGCTAGGGGCTGAAAAATTTTGAGTTCTTATAAATTGTAAATTGCAATCTTATTTAACTTTTTCATTGGTTTGCGTGTTGAAAAATACTGGGTAAATTGAATTCCTAGTATTGTGTGTTGAATTGAGCTCAAAATTAGCAAAAAAAAAAAAAATTAACGTAAGTGCCTTGTTTTGAGTAACTAAAATGTATCGCTTTGTGGGCAACTACTTTTTTCATGTAAAAACTAGGCACTTACGTTAATTTTTTGCCAATTCGAGCTCAATTTGGTTCCTTGAGAATTAGAATGACCACTAAAACCTTAACCGACCAACACACAAACCAGTGAAACAATTGAATTAGGTTGCAATTTACAATTTATAACAACTTGAAATGGCTGCAATTTGCAAAATACTAACTTTAAATGGTTGCTATTTGCAAATTTTCCTATTTTTTATCATTCAACTATTCATGTTAGAGAATTCAAAGCCCTTTACCTTTATTTTTCTTTCTTCTACAGTGGGATGTCCTTTGCAATGTAAACCCAGTGCATGAGATAATTCGTATACCAACTCAAAATCATTCAGCAAATGCCATCTCCATTTTACAGGTAGCACATAAAGGACTCAAAATTCTTTCGCTCATATACTTTCTCAATCCTAAATTCAATAAAAATAAGTGTGCAAACTTTTAATTCAAGTAAAATGAATAGCATGCCATTGTCCAAAAAGTAGCCTTTTTATTTAACATCATACGTGCAAGATAACATGTACACACCGCAAATATTTTCTTATTAGATAAACTATCTATAACAATCTGAGCTACAAATCCATTTTATTTGATGAAGCATACAACAATAATCAATTAATAAGCTTGTAAAAGAAATACAAAGTTGTTAAATTAATTTCCACAAAGGAAGAATATAATCAATAATGAAAAAGCTAAGGAAAAAAGTATAAAATTGCACCTGAGGTCGAGTAGTGTTATTACACAAGTAGTCGAAGACCTTGTTAGCAGAATCAGGAACCCAAAATGAGCTAGCAGCACAGATAATTATTCCAATTGGAAGATCACCGAATGTATTCCTTATGATAGTGAATTTAACAGCGTTTCTTTCAAGTTCATGTAGTTGATGAATATTTGCATTTTTAAACAAGGAGAATGTAGAACAATAATTCTTCATCATCCTACAAGAGAGAATCACCATACTTCTCCTTCCTGTAGACAATAAATTTACTCGAATAAGAAAATAGGGAGATAAAAAAAATAAAATTAATAAAGATATTGAAATGAAAAGGTGAATGAAGGGAATTAAAATAACCTTTTGTAATTGCATTTGGTAGGTTTGAGAGATTCAGTCAAATAAGAAAAATGTTCGCATGTTCTCTGAAGTGCCATCTTTTTGCACCAAATCCTAATGTGCTTTTCACAGAATTTTTATAAATAGGATGAACTTGGAAATCATCATCAACTTCTACATGTTCTATACATGTTACCTGTAAAATTGAGATGTCTTGATGATTGGTTAAGATACAATGAAAAATCATCCAACAAACAGAAAGCACCAATAATCATGTGCCTCTTAGATTATATGTATGCACACTTGAAATATCTTTTAACATTGCCAAGTAATAAATGAATTCATTTAGGTTATCAACTTCATTATAATTCAGAGTACACTATCATGAAAGCTAGGTTAGATCTTATTAATTTGTGATTGGGAAAGAAAGATAATAGTTTCTGTAGGGAATATTTCAAGCGTTAATCCCCTAACTTGAACCCCACTGTGGTCATACACTAAAGTACGGTGGCGTCCAAAGGGAAATAAGATAGAGCAAAAGAGTCGCCAACAAGTTTTTTAGGAACTTGTAAACCGTTCACGAGGTGAAGGTTACACCCCTTAACGATCCAAGAGATCGTCAACTCCAATAGGTCTTGAACCATGATTGGTGCTCGGGGATGAAGGTACAAATCCAACCTAAAAGAGATTGAACCTGCCCTAATAATAGGCCTCTACTTTATTCTGATCGTACTCATGTGCGCTTTCTGACTAACATGCAATCAATAGGATTAACCCTAAACCTGTTTATCTATATTGGTTGAATATTAATGCACAAATAAAACTATTATTGGCGATCACTTGAATTATAATCAAATTAACCCTAAACAAGTTTATTAATTATCTTATTAAGCGTGATTACAAGTACAAATTCCCTTTAAACATGCATAAAAGGTGTGATCAAGCAATAGAAATAAATATATCAAGCAACATAATAAATTAAAATAATATTTAAATAATCATGATATTCATGTTAAAGCATAATAATAGCAAGATCCTAGGCATGATACTAACAAGATTAATAACAAACCCTAGTATGTCACTAAACATCAAAGATAAAATATTTAGCCCTAACATGATACTAACAATCATAAATATTAGGAAGAACATAAAAGGCATAATACTTTTAATCATACTTGGTATTAAAGTTACCCTAGACATGATACTAGGAATTTAATATTGTCACCCTAAACATCAAATTAAGGAAAACATCCTAACATGATACTAGAGATTAAAATAACAATCTAAGCATGATTTCTATATCATAATATCAGTTAAACCATTAAAGTACTTACTTGGATGCCTCGTACCTCTTTCTAATAACAAAATATACACGTTAGTAACTTCAAGGAAAATATAATAATTAAAACAAATAAATCAAATAATTGAAATAGAGATTTGGGACCAAACCCTCAGAAATTAAACCATTCACGTCTAAGGAAAAGGCAACTTCGAACTTGGCTAGATGTTTCTAAATCTAATGAATGCGAAATTTTTATATTTGAGAGAAGGCTAGTTTAGAAAAAAGAGAGAGAGTAATCAAGAAAATCTTGATGAGAGTTGGTGAATCAAAACGGAGTTTTTAGGAGACTATTTATAGAAAAAATCACCCAAAAAGATAAAACATAAAAAACAGAGTTCTGACGCGTAAAACCAGATTAGCTCCAAACGCTGACCTTAGCGCCAGGCGCTAAGGCTAGCGCCAGGCGCTAAGGCTAGCGCCAGGCGCCAAGCGTAGCGTCAGGCGCTACAGCTGGCGTTTGGCGTTGACTAAGAAATTGACGCATTTTCTTAAAATCGGATAGAAATTGCCGTACAGGAGGATAAAATCGTATTTTCTTCAAAAACGTTCTTTTATTCTAATTAAAACTCTAAAAAGTCAATTTATCAATGCTAATTGAATTAGGAATGAAAAGAACCTTCTAGAAGAATCTAGAAGACTAAAACCATTTCTAATTGCATTAGGAATGATAAATCCATATTAGGCCCTCCTCTTGATCATTGGGCCGCATATAGGGCTCAAACCGGGCCCGGTTCAGTAATTTGGCCATAACTTCCTCAATATTCATCGGAATTGGGTTTATAATATATCGTTGGATAGCTCTTTTCAAGCCCCATCCAACTACACTACTATTGGACCCATATCATGGACCAACTAAACTGTATTGGCTGTTTTCTTAAAATAGGTTTTCAAAAACAGAGAGAAGAGAAAAGAAATTAAAACTATCCGCAACACTAAACTTTCCACACTTTCACTTCATTCGATTATGATTCGACGTGAAAGGTACTCATCACCGGGTTTGGTTTTGGGGAGACACAAATGGGTGTCTACAGAAGCCCCCACTTTGACTGAGTTTGGAGAAACGCAAGTTTCGAAAACAAAATTCAAAGTAGCGATAATGTCGATACTTGCAAACTAGCGTTAGTTAAAACAGATAAACGAGTTAAGAAACGCGTATCTTGCACCGTCGAGCACACGTCTCTGAAAATAACCGATTTGCTGCCGCTTTGCTGTTTTGATGACCTCCTGCCAAGAGAATGCCATCCCCCCTGAAAACCTCTACGCTTGTAACTGCTTCCAATATAGAAGATTTCTTCGCTTGAAACGACCTTCTTTCGCTTTGATAATATTTCACAAACCAGGGAACACTATCGAAGATTGCTTCTCTTGAAACAATCCTCTTCCGCTTTGTGACCATCTTCCACGTCTAAGGGAACATGATCGAAGACAACTTCGCTTGAAATCACCTTCAGTTGTTCTTGACAACTCTCCACAATCTAGGGAACGCTGTCGAAGATATCCTCACTTGAAGCTATCCTCATTTGTTACGATAATTTTCCAAAGGAAATTACTGAAGATCTCCGCTTGTCGATCCTTAAAAGTTCGCTTGAACTTTGCTTCCGCTATGCCTGTACTTCGGCGCTTTTGCTACTTTTGAACCTGTATGTCGGTTCCTTTTTCTGAATGAATGAACCAATATGTCGGTGTCTTTTGCGAATGAGCCAATGTTTAGGCGCTTTAAGCTAAGTGAGATGATCTTTCATCAGGTCGATCACTTTGTGTGATCAAGCCGATTACTAAAAATCGTGTCAAATTGCTTATAGGGGCTAATTGGCGTACCAAGGAACCCAAAATATATTGCAAAAGGTTAGAACAACCATACTAAGTGGCTGACTGTTCTGGCGCCGCTGAAATAACATCAGCGCCAATAATCTGGCTGTAGCGCCAGACGCTGCGCCTATCAACTGACGCCAAAGTCTGGCGCTTGGCGCCAGAGTCGGGTATTCCTTAAATACCCTTCTCTTCCTCATTTTCGCTGTTGCTCGTCGCGTTTTTTGCTCGAAAATTCTCAGAAATTCATTTGCTTCGTTCTTGCTCGTTTCTCAACCAAATTCGCTTAAATTTGTTGCAAATCAAAGCTTATTCCATCCATTTTCACGATCTATGTAAGTTTTCTTCAAACTCACACCGATTTTAATGAATTTTGCATGTGTTTATTCTCGAATTTCATGAAAATTCGAAATTTAGAATGCTTAATTCTCTTTGTTTGTCAAATTTTATGGCATGAAATTGCTTGATTATGTTTATATATTTCCCTGGGAGTAATTTGACTTGTTTGACTCAATTTGGTGAAGAAATGAACAAATTGCCATTGTTGACCCTCTTAAGGTCGGGAATACAATGTGGCTCGTTCTTGATGTTTTTGCTAGAAATTCTTGTCCAATTTGTCACAATAATTATTATAGTATTGCAAGAAATTATTTGATTGCTTGAAAAATGCCGTTATGTTCAATTTGAATTTGTGCTCTATTTTTAAGTACTACGTACTCTGTTTTTTGCGAACATAGTATCATGCGGCTAGGCGAACCTTAGATACTATAGAACCTTAATTTATGAAAATTCTGCACAATGTAGCATGGCTAGACAGCGAGGTTTTGGTTCACGGTCCCGATACGTTCGACGGGAGCACGAGCCCGTAGAGGACGATGCCGAGCCGTCCACTTCGCTTGGTCGACTCCCTGAGTGGGATGAGCGGACCCTATACTTTTCTCCCATCCACCACATTTCTGAGAGGGTGATACGGGGCATCACTGTTGGGAGGACGCGTTGTCATGGTTCCGGCTGTGACGGCTTGGGCGATCTGTACAAGATGTACATCGCCAGAGATGATCAGACAAGAATTCTATGGGAGTCTTGCGGTCTTACTACGCTGTACAAGACCTCCGAGGCCATGGTCGCCTCTAGCTGGGGTCATCATGTAGTTTGTGCTCTGGGTGAGTTCTTTTGGGATACCACCAACACTTTCCACTTTCCTTGGGGTGAGATGATGGTCACTCTTACCGACTTCAGTCTCATCACAGGACTGGAGTTTAGTTCCGTGCCACTGTCGTTCGACAGTGGGGTCGACGTCTTTCCCCTGAGGTCGAGGAGCTGTTGGGTCCGATTGCTATTCGGGCTCGAGCTGAGGTTGAGTCGACTCAGTTCAGTGCGAGGGGGATTCACCGCTCGACTTTTAGCATCGGCTTTGGACGATGGTGCGACTACCCGAGAGCAGCGGGTACGCATCTTTGCACTCATTTTGCTTTCAGGGATGTTCTCCCCTGACAAGGGTAGTAGGGCGCTGCTTTACTACCTTCCTGCCATCCGCGATCTACACCGGATCGGGACTTATGACTGGGCCAGCTTGCCTATGCTGATTTCATTCTAGCGTTGAGGGACTCGTGTCGACATCGGTCCTTTGGGACGATTGTTTCTTTGTCCAGCTTTTGGAGGGTCGTAGAGGTAAACCTTATTCCCTATAAAGTTTAGCTCTACGTTTTAGTTAGCATTTACTGATAACTTTAGCTTCTTATAGATCTAGTTCTACGAGTACTTCCCCTCAGCTGCGCCGACAAGACCGTCGCCGCGCAGGTTTCCAGTTAGTGCTTCCTGGGGCAGCCGCCGTGTGGGGATGTCCACTGCATATGTCCGAGATTGGATCATCTCGGTATGATTCTTTTCTTATTTGACATTTTACGATGCCTTATATAGATTCTTGCCTGATTGACGCTCTTTGCAGGAGCCTGAGGTGTTGTACCGACCATGGGTTGACCTGGCAGTCCCTGGGTTAGCCGCACAATATTTTGTTGAGCGTCGCTATTTCTTAGGGACCTATG